GGATTGGTCTGAAGTTCTCTTTCTTTGTTGGGTCTTTGTTAGGTTTAGGTATGAGCGTGATTGTAGCTTTATAGAATGAATTTGATAGAGTTCCTGCAGTTTTATTTTGTGAAATAGTTTGAAGAGAATTGATATTAGGTCTTCCTTGAAGGTCTGATAGAATTCTGCACTAAAGCCATCAGGTCCTGGGCTTTTTTTTTTTTTTTTTTTTTTTTTTGGTGGAGAGACTTTTAATGACTGCTGCTATTTCTTTAGGGGTTATAGGAGTGTTTAGATGGTTTATCTGCTTCTGATTTAACTTTGGTACCTGGTATCTGTCTAGAAAATTGTCCATTTCATCCAGATTTTTCAATTTTGTTGAGTATAGGTCTTTGTAGTAGAATCTGATGATTATTTTTAATTTCCTGAGTTTCTGTTGTTATGTCTCCCATTTCAGTTCTGATTTTATTAAGTTGGATACTGTCTCTGTCCCCTCTGGTTAGACTGGCCAAAGGTTTATCTATCTTGTTGATTTTCTCAAAGAACAATCTCCTGGTTTTGTTGATACTTTGTATAATTCTTTTTGTTTCTACTTGGTTGATTTCAGCCCTGAGTTTGATTATTTCCTGAAGTCTACTCCTCTTGGGTGTATTTGCTTCTTTTTATTCTAGAGTTTTCAGGTGTGCTGTCAAACTGCTAGTGTATGCTCTCTCCAGTTTCTTTTTGTAGGCACTTAGGCCTATGAGTCTACCTCTTAACACTGCTTTCTTGGAGTCTCACATGTTTTGATATGCTGTGCCCTCATTTTCATTAAATTCTAAAAAGTCTTTAATTTCTTTCTTTATTTCTTCCTTGACCAAGTCATCATTGAGTAGAGAGTTGTTCAGTTTCCACATGTATGTGGGCTTTCCATTGTTTTTGTCATTATTAAAAACCAGCCTTAGACTGTGGTGATCTGATAGTATGCAAAGGATGATTACAATCTTTTTGTATCTGTTGAGGCCTGTTTTGTGACCAATTATATGGTCTATTTTGGAGAAGGTACTATGAGGTGCTGAGAAAAACGTATATTCTTTTTTTTTTTAGGATGAAATGTTCTGTAGATATCTCTTAGATCCATCTGGTTCATAACTTCTGTTAATTTCTTTGTGTCTCTGTTTAGTTTCTGTTTCCATGATCTTTTCATTGCTTAGAGTGAGGTGTTGAAATCCCCCACTATTATTGTGTGAGGTGCAATGTGTGCTTTGAGCTTTAGCAACGTTTCTTTTATAAATGTGGGTACCCTTGCATTTGGAGCATAGATGTTCAGAATTGAGAGTTCATCTTGGTAGATTTTTCCTTTGATAAGTATGAAGTGTCCTTCCTTATCTTTTTTGATTACTTTTGGTTGAAAGTTGATTTTATTTGATATTAGAATGGTTACTCCAGCTTGTTTCTTGGGATCAGCTTGTTTGCTTGGAAAATTATTTTCCATCCTTCTACTCTGAGGTAGTGTCTGTTTTTGTCACTGAGGTGCATTTCCTGTATGCAGCAAAATTCTTGGTCCTGTTTATGTATCCAGTCTGTTAGTCTATGTCTTCTTATTGGACAACTGAGTCCATTGATGTTAAGAGATATTAAGGAAAAATGATCGTGGCTTCCTGTTATTTTTGTTATTAGCGGTAGAATTATGTTTGTGTAGCTATCTTCTTTTGGGGTTGTTGGAAGATTACTTCCTTGCTATTTCTAGGTTGTAGTTCCCCTCTTTGTGTTGGAGTTTTCCATTAATTATCCTTTGTAGGGCTGGATTTGTTGGAAGATATTGTATAAATTTGATTTTGTCATGGAATATCTTGGTTTCTCCATCTATAGTGATTGAGAGTTTTGCTGAGGATAGTAGTCTGGGCTGGCATTTGTGTTCTCTTAGGGTCTATACGATATCAGCCCAGGATCTTCTGGCTTCTATAGTCTCTGGTGAGAAGTCTGGTATAACTCTTACAGGTCTGCCTTTATATGTTATTTGACCTTTTTCCCTTACTGCTTTTAGTATTTTTTCTTTGTTTTGTGCATTTGATGTTTTGATTATTATGTGACATGAGGTCTTTTCTGGTCTAGTCTATTTGGCATTCTGTAGGCTTCCTGTATGTTCATGGATATCTCATTCTTTAGGTTAGTGAAGTTTTCCTCTATAATTTTGTTGAAGATATATACTGGCCCTTTAAGTTGGGAATCTTCACTCTCATCTATACCTATTATCCTTAGGTTTGGTCTTCTTATTGTGTCCTGGATTTCCTGGATGTTTTGGGTTTGGAGCTTTTTGCATATTATATTATCTTTGACAGTTGTGTCAATGTTTTCCATGGTCTCTTCTGCACATGAGATTCTCTCTTCTATCTCTTGTATTCTGTTGGTGGTGCTTGCATCTATTACTCCTGATCTCTTTCCTAGGTTTTCTATCTCCATAGTAGTCTCCCTTTGAGATTTCTTTATTGTTTCTATTTTCATTTTTAGATCCTGAATGGTTTTGTTTAATTCCTTCACCTGTTTGGTTGTGTTTTCTTATAATTCTTTAACGGAATTTTGTGTTTCCTCTTTAAGAGCCTGCTTCTACCTGTTTACCTGTGTTCTTCTGTACTTCTTTAAGGGAATTATTTATGTCCTTCTTAAAATCCTCTATCATCATCATGAGAAGTGATTTTAATTCTGAATCCTGCTTTTCTGGTGTGATTGGGTGTCCAGGGCTTGCTATGGTGGGAGAACTGGGTTCTGATGATGCCAAGTAACTTTGGTTTCTGTTGCTTATGTTCTTGTGCTTGCATTTTGTCATCTGGTTAACTCTCGTGCTACCTGCACTCACTGTCTCTGACTAGAGCCTGTCTTTCCTGTTATCTTGTTTGTATCAGACCTCCTCAGAGTCCAGATGTCTTTGTGATCCTGTGATCCTGAGTTCCTGGGTAGAAGAACCACTGCTCTGAGTGCAGTGGTTCCTCTAGGATGGTTCAGGATATGGTGTCTTCACTGAAGCAGACGAGCTAGGTGTCTGCCCCTGTCAAAAGGACCCAGTGAGGAGAGGAAGGGGAGTGGTATTCCGGAGGGGCTGGGTTTGTGTGGCTGATGGGTCCTGGGCACCTCAGGCTCTCAGTTGTAGGTCTGGGGTGTTGGGTACTGAGAGAGGGTACTTACTGGCTACTCTGAGTGCAGTGGTTCCTCTAGGATGGCTCAGGATATAGTAAATTCATGGGAGCAGACCAGCTAGGTTTTTGCCCTAGCCAAAAGATGTCTCCCTTTTCATTTCTAATTTTGTTAATTTAGATAGTGTCTCTGTGTTCTTTAGTTAGTTTGGCTAAGGGTTTATCTATCTTCTTGGTTTTGTCAAAGAACCAGCTCTTAATTTTGTTGATTCTTTGTATTGTTCTCTTTGTTTTTAACTAGTTGATCTTTTGTTTCATTTTATTCTATTTTCATTTTGTTATATATTTCAAATGAATGAATGAATGAATGAATGAATGCAAACTTAGTCATGGGTAAAGGATAAAGACAGAACTATCATTTATACCTGCTGAAAAAGGAAAAATATGTTTTCTCTAATGTAATGACACTAGGTATATCAATCCCTCCAAAGCAGGTCTCATGTTCATGAGTAGACGTTTTGTGTGCTTTTATTTGGTTAGTTTGGTAGTTTAACCAAATGGTTTGTTTATTTTTTCTATCTTTTTAGGCATTATGGTTTTTTTCTTTTTTCATTGTTGTATTGAGATTTTATTAATTTTTGTTTTGATAAAAATCTTAAAATTTGTTGGGTAGGGAGGAGGAGAGAATCTAGAAGAACTGTGAAAAACAAAAATTAAATGAAACACATCGTTAAGTCAATTCCCTCTGAATAGATGCTTTTGAGAAATGCATATGGTATTACCATGCATTTGTAAGCAGGGCATTTTTACTAGTAAAGAAGATATATTCCAAAAAGAAAAAGAAAAAGAAAAAGAAAACAAAAGAAAAGAAAAGAAAAGAAAAGAAAAGAAAAAGAAGTAGAAACACCGTCAGCAGGGGCTACCTAATGAAGTAAAGGTATTAGATGAAGGAAACAAACCATTTAACCAATAAAAATTGTATCTACTGAAAACTGGGTTGACTATATGCCCTCTCCTTGTACCCTTAACATTCAGTTTTATATTTCCTATTTTGATTAGTGTGAACGTACAGCTATGATCTCATGTGGAGTGGCTAACTCCAATTATTAGGAAAAAATAAAAGATGATGAGCATTATTAACAGTACATCACCTCCCCCATCATGCCAGAGCCTGTACCACCCTGCTTCCTCTAGTAGTTCAGTCTCCCATCCCTTTGCTTATCTCCACAAAATTTGAATATCTTTATCTTCTCTGAGACCTCTCTGTGGTCATGTACTTTAATAAATGTGTGTGAACTTTTTCATTTGACTGAGTTAACTTCATGTAGATTAAGATAATTAGATGCTGAGAAAATAGAGTAAAATTTTAAACTTCTTTATACATTCACTATACTTTAGCATTTAATGTGAGAAGGACAAGACACAGACAAGCACCAGATGACATGACACAGACAAGTACCAGATGACTGTGCTTGTGGTAGTATTATCTACATGAGTAACTGTCATGGGGATAAAATTAGTTGTCATGAGTTAATCTCAGTGTTTGCCTTGTACAAGTGTTCAAAACTGATTTTTCTTCTCCACAGCACAGAATTGAATTTGAAGATCAAACCTGTCAAACAATAGGAGAAATCAGAAGAAACCACTATGATATTTGAAGACTGAGTTTGAACCTCTGAAGGTTTCCTTTTGACAGAATCTGTCTTCAAATTTAGGGTTTCAGATAATGATATTTAACAAATATATTTCTTTGGCATGCTGAGCAGTTTGATACAAAGGGAGGAGATCTCTCTAGGATTCCCCTCTTATCTTCAGATCCCACTACCAAATAGAACATAATTGCCTTCTATCTGCACCATACATTTCTGTTATTATTCTAAAAAAGAAGACTGAGGAAGGTAACTTCCTTTACCAGATTCTGTCTCTTACCTAAATTCATTCAAATTGTAGAGTCTATTTTTGGAACCATCATTCACTTGAAAATAATTTGAGAACTCAAAATATTGTTTCATCCCTCAATCTTTCCTTTTTCATAGTACACCAGATGGTAATCCAGATGGTAATTGTATTTTTGTGAATTTTTCATGTTTAATTAATTTATTTTTGAATTCTAATAAGTATTCATTATTTTTCCTATGCATTCTTACCAATTAATTCCAGTGAACTTAGAGACAGCAAAGAGGAACATCCCTTTATCCTTATCTGGTTTTTGGATGAAGTTTTTATTTTTTATTTTCACTCCATGATGTTTTGAGTTAGTCCTTATATTCTCTTTCTTTCTGTACTCTGAGACAAAAAAAAATAGCAGGATTCATTTGGTATACTTGAGATTTCATCTCAATGAGACCACACTACCAATACACAGAGTGACCTTAGTAAAGCATGTTACTGACATAGCTAAAGATTTGGTCAAAAACAGAGAAAGAGCATTCACACAACACCAAAGAGTCTCACATCAAAGGGAATGAGATGATTTATTAGAGAACCAAGTATAAAGGACCCAGTAACACAAAGCCGTGTCATCCTAAGCCATAGTTTCATGAAATTCCTGTAATAATGTAAAGAAAAGCCATAAATCAGGGCACTTTCAAGCATGTTGGTGGAAAACCTGGATGTGTTCCAGCCCAGCAGAAACATTTCTAGTATGAACCTCAGATGCCGTGTGATACATTCTTACTTTGGTGGGAGCTGTTGGCCTGTTCACACACTCCATGGTATACAGTTGCATGCACAAAGGTGAACAGCATTTGGCAATTTTGGGGCTATGAAATCCCAAGGTTATTTGGTCTTGGGATATCATTCCAACTATCTACAGTTGAAATTCTTATCAATCAGCCTTGTAGAGTCTCTAATGTTTAACATTAGATATTGTTTAAAAGACTTAGCTTTTCTTCTTTAAACTTCAGTTAACAGATCCCTCCATGGCACAGAATATGTCACAGGACTGATCAGAGACATTCAGTTTCATTTCTCAGCCAAACTACAATTCTCAGAAATGTTTGTCTTCTTTTCTCCTCCAACCCTATCTCAAACCACAAGTAAGTTTTGTAGTTCTCAGTCACAAGTCAGTAGTATATGGGTGGTTAATCATTACTTTTGTAAAGTATTTTTCTAAGCATTTCTGTTTTTTCATTTTTTTCTCACTTTCCAAATTTAAGGCTTATTTGAAAAATCCATGCCATTCTGTGATAAATTGAAGAATACAGGGTTAACAATATATTCCTCTTTTTTAATATAAACAAAACAATTTAAAAAATTATTGAATCCTTAATGTTCTTATTCATAGAGACTGCCATCTTTTGTAATTTTATGAAGAAATAAATCTTTTGCCCTATGAATTTAAAACAAAATCTAACCGATATGTATTTGTGATATTACAAAATAGCTACCTTAATTCTGTTTAGGAATTTTACATATAAACTACCATTGGAAATACAGCAATGATCTAGCAAAAAATGTTTCATGTGCAGCATTTCAAAGTATTTAAATCAATACAGAAATATAATCCTTAGTTATCTTAAAGCTCTAATGCCTAAAGTTTATGTCTTCTGTGCCATTAATCTATATTTGATTAAAATATACTTTAAGTAAAGAATTCAATTTTTTGGATGATTTTTGTCTTTCTAAACTACAGGCTTTTATGTTATTTGGTTAGCCATCTCGGAATAGTACACCAAAATGTTTTTGAATACTATTATTCCATGATGCATACTAATGAGCTCAAATATCAGATTTCAAGTGTTTTAAGCACTTTCTGATTGGTGTGTGATATGGTTGTTCTGTGAGAGATTCTACCAGCACCCGATCAATACAGATGCAGATACTCACATCTAACCAACAGACTCAGCCCAGGGATCCCAATAGAAGAGCTAAGGGAAAGACTGAAGGAGCTAAAAGGGATTACAACCCCATAGGAAGAGTATTATCAACTATCAGGATCACCCAGAGCTCCCAGAGACTAAACCTTTAACCAAAGAGTATACATTAAGGGATCCAAAGCTCCAGATACATATGTAGCAGAGGATGGCCTTATCTGACACCAGTGGGAGGGGAGGCCCTTGGTCCTGTGGAGACTTGATAACCCAGTGTAGGGAGATGATCAGTGAGGTGGGAGTGGATGAGTGAGTGGAGGAGCTCCTTCATAGAAGCAAAGGGGAACAGGAAGAAGGAGGATGGGATTGCAGGCTTGTGGAAGGGTAACCAGGAAGGGGGATATCACTTGTAATGTGAATGAATTAAATGATTAATAAAATAAAAACAAAAGAATTAAAGAACATGTGAATTTGTATATCCTATCCCACATCTCTAGTGAAAGCCTCCTACCCTACCAGAAGACTGACCAGAGCCCTGAACTCCAAGTGAGACTGGACCATTGCCCAGCAACTGCCTAGTATAACTTCAACTTCCCCTTCCCCCTTAATCACAATAACCTCTGACAGAAACCTCCTACTCCACCAGAGGCCAAGCCAGCATCCTGAAACCCAGAGGACTCTCAGGCCAAATTACAGTCCATACATATCACCAGAACTCTAGCCACCAAGTTGAGCAGTAACTCTCTGTTGGACAAGAGGCCATCCAAGCTATCAGCAGTCCAGTGCCCAACTTGGGTGAAGAACCTCTACTTAACTATAGGCCACCCCAACCAGAAAACCAAACAGGAAACACAAACCAAGAAAGAAAACATCCATCTAACAAAGACAAACCTAAAATTTGGCACGTAGACCTATAATCACTTCAAATCCAGATGCCTAAAGTCAGTGTAAGAACACAGTCTGCATAGGCAGGGCAATATGTCATCACCAGAGTCTAGCCATACCACTGCAGCAAGCCCTGAATATTCTAACATAGCTGAAGCACAAGAAAACAACTTTACAATCAACTTTATGAAAATGATAGTGGTCCTTAAAAAGGAAATGAATAACTCCCTTAAAGAAATTGAGAAAAAGAAAATTGGAGGAAATCAATAAATCATTTTTAAAATGTTAAGAAAATCAAGGAAAAAAGTTGAAGAGGAAAAAAACTGTTCAAGATCTGAAAATGGAAAGAGAAGCAATAAAGAAAACACAACTGAGGAATTCTGAAAATGGAGATTCTAAGTAAGTAAACAAGATCTACAGATGCAAAAATCACCAAGAGAATACAAAAGATGGAAAAGGGAATCTCAAGCATTGAAGACACAATAGTTCAATATATAGGTTAAGAAAACTGCTAAATCTAAAAAATCCCTGACACAAAACATCCAGAAAATCTAGGATAGTATGAATAGACTGAATATAAGAATAGTAGAAAAAGGAAAATATTCCCAGCTCAAAACTCAAAAATTATTTTGACATAATCATAAAAGAAAATTTCCCTAACCCAAAGAAGGACATGCATATAAAGTACCAGAAGCTTACAGAACACCAAATAGATTGCACCAAAAATGAAAGTCCTCTTACCACATAACAATAAAAATTCTAATCACAGAGAACAAAGAAAGAATATAAAAGCTGTGAGAGAAAAAGGTCAAGCAACATATAAAGGCAGGCCTATTAGAATTACACAAAACATCTCAATGAAAATACTAAAAGCTAGAAAGGCCTGGTGGGATAAGCTGCAGATTCTCAGAGACCACAGATAACCAACTCAGACTACTATATCAGAAAGCAAAATATTTCATGATAAAGTCAAATTCATACAGCATCTACCCACAAATTCAGCCCTACAGAAAATAATAGAAGAAACACTCTAACCTAAGGAGGTTAAATACAGACATAAAAACACAGGCAATAAACTTACATTAGCATAACCAAAAAAGAAAAAAACACACACAGAAAACATCAACTATGACAGAAATTAACAATCATTGGTATCTATTAATATCAATGGACTCAATTCCCTAGAAAAAAGTCATAGAATAACAGAATGGATGCAAAAACAAAATCAATAATTCTTCTGTATACACAAAATACACATCAACATCAAAGATAGGCACTATGTCAAAGTAAAAAGGGTGAACTGGTGTAGCTATTCTATTAGCTAACAAAATAGACTTCAAACCTAAAATGATAAAAAAAAAGATGGGGAAAGATAGTTCAAAGAAAAAAAATCCACTAAGATGATCTTTCAGTTTTCAACATTGATGCACCAAACAAGGGCACCCACATTTGTAAAAGAAACATTACTAAGGCTTAAATCACACATCAACCCTCACACATTGATAGTGGGAGACTTCAAAACCCCACTCTCACCAATGCACAGCTCACTCAGAGAAAAAATGGTGCTAACAGATATTATTAACCAAATGGTCCCAACAGATGTCTACAAAGTATTTCACCCAAACAGTAAAGAATATACCTTCTCAGAACCTCATGGCACATTCTCCAAAACAGACCACATATTTGGACACTTAGCAGCTCTCAAAAGATTCAAGAGAACTGAGAGAACATGCTGCAGCCTATCTGACTACCATGGGAAACTGAAGGATCTTCCTGGAAAAGGGAAATAGAATAGATTTTGCTAGTAGACTGAGGATTGGTTGGGATGGGAACAGGAGGGATCAGGTGGGGGCAAATGAAGGGAGAAAATATTGAAATACAACTGGAATTGTGGGAAGGCATTTCAGGAGCAAAGTAGAAACCTAGTGCAATGAAAACTCCATGCAACCTATGAGGGTGACACTAGTAAAGACTCCTATTAATGAGGAACACAGAGTCTTAACTGGCCATTCCCTGTAACCAGGAAAGGTCTCAAGTAGAAGGATTAGAACACCAACATAGCCATAAAACCTCCCACTTACAGTTTGTAATGCCTACAGGATGTGCTGGGATCAAAACTTAACATAATCATCATCAGAGAGACTTCACACAGCTACTGATGGGAGCAGATGCAGAGTCCCACAGCCAAATATTAGGTGGAGCTTATTGAGTCCTGTGGAGGAAGGAGAGTAGGATTAGAGGTTCCGAAGGGACAAGGATACCATAACAACATGGCCTACAGAATCAACTGACTGAGATTCAAGGAGGCTCACAGAGGTCATGGAGCCTGTATGGTCATAATCCTCTTCATATATGTTTTGGTTGTATAGCTCCATGTTCTTGTGTGATTCCTAACAGTGGGAGCGGGCCTGTCTCTAACTCATTTTCCCTGCCCTTGCTACCCTTTTCCTCCTACAGGATTGTCTCATCAAGCCTTGATATGAAAACATAAGACTGGTCTTATTGTAGCTTATTATGCCATATTTGGTGGATATTCCCAGAAGGTCTGCTCTTTTCTGAGGTTAAGAGGAAGGGATGTGGGGGTGGATCTAGGAAAAGGGGGAGGGAGAGAGGTTCAGGGAGGTTACAGAGGGTAGAATGAAGTCAAGATGTAATATATGAGAGAAGAATTGATTAAAAGAAAAAATGAGGTACAGATCTAACCAGAAAATTCTCAATAAAGGAAATCCAAATAGTTGAGTAATACTTAAAGAAATGATCAGCATCCTTAGTCATTAGCATAATGTAAAGCAAAATCACTCTTGGGTATATACCCAAGCCTATTTTTAGCACAAGGAGACTTGCTCAGCCATGTTCATCACTACTTGATTCATAACAATTAAAAACTGGAAATATCCTAGATGTCCCTAAACAGAAGAATGAAAAAAGAAAATAGGGGGCACTTACATATGTAATGTTAAAAAATTATATCATGAAATATGCAGGCAAACAGATAGAACTAGAAAAAACTCTTCCTAAGTATCACAGGCCTAAAAAGACAAATATAAAATATACTCAATTATAAGTGGATGTTAGCTATTAAATTAATGATAACCAAGCTACAATCCATAGAACCAAAGAGGGTAAGGATACAGTAAAGGACTAAGGGGTACAGATAGATCTTGTTTGGACAGGGACAATAAGAAGAATAGGTACTTCCAGGTGGATGTGCTTGCAGACTCTAACAGGAGAATCAAGTCTGAAAAAGGGAGGGGAGAAACAGACAAAGGAAGATATATGGGAAAAGGTTGTTAAAATTAATGGCCTTTAGGGAGTAGTGTGGAAACCCAATACAGTAGAAACTTCCTAAACTATGTGCTCATATGAAGGGGACATATGAAGGAAATTGTCAAATAGTGAGTGAGAACAAGTCCCAAATGAGTACCTTTTGTCACCAAATGAAGCTTCTGGAACCAAGATTGGATTATACTGAGTTGAGTTATGGGCCAAAGGAATTCCATGAGGATGTCCAAACAACTCAAACTGTTGTCAAGACAATAAATTATTCTCCAGGAACTGATAGCAAGACCTCCTTGCTGAAGACAACCCCTACACAACTCATTGAATATGGAAAAGTAAGACTGGTGTCTACATAGAGCCTTTGACCCTACATTCTAATGTCTTTGCCACAGGAAGATATTCAGGAGGCTACCAAAAAGAAACATAAACACCAAGCCACCCACAAACCCTCTGAACCCAGTGATGACCAATCACACATAATTTATAGCCAATTGCAAAATCTTTATTTCAGGCAGCTGGGGCCATATCCAAGTAGTTGGAGTTTTAGTTATGGCTCTAAATGTCCAGAACAAGTTGTTTTTGTAGGCAAATCTGTGTCGTGGCATCTCTCTCAGCAGCTTAATGAGTCAGGGACTTTCATGTAAGCAAGCAATATGACAGAAGTACTAACCTTTAGTTCCTACAAAGGAGTTGGGTAATTTTTCCATATGATTCTAAATCAAGGAAATCAAATTCTAATTAACCTTTAAATGACCTCAGCAATAATTCAAGATAGAGGAACTTTTGCATTGCCTTGCCATGTCTCACAAGGACTTAGACTAAAACCAAATATTGCTGGTCTTAAAAAAGTATGTAATGATAAAATGACTCCTAATGATACACTGTTATATTCAAAGATCAGTGCTTTCCTCAGCCATCATCAGAGAAGCTTCAACCTGCTACAGTTGGGAACAAATATGGAGACCTTCATCCAGACATGATGTAGAGTAAGAGACCTTAGAACACTCAGCCGTAAACAGGATATCTTTATCAAATTCCTCCCCTCAGGGCTCAAAGAACACCAAGGAAGTTCTAAGAACCAGAGAGGATGGAGGACACCAAGAAAACAAGACTTACCGGGCAGTGGTGGTGCATGCCTTTAATCCCGCACTTGGGAGGCAGAGGCAGGCGTCTGAGTTCAAGGCCAGCCTGGTCTTCAGAGTGAGTTCCAGGACAGCCAGGGCTACACAGAGAAACTCTATCTCAAAAAGAAAGAAAGAAAGAAAAACAAAAAGAAAGAAAACAAGACTTTCTAAATGCACATGATCAAAGCTCATGTGACCTCACAAAAACTAAGGCAGCATATTCAGGGTCTGCAGAAGTGTGCACCGGGACTTCAGAGTATATACTATACTTTCTAGTATAGTTATAGTAACTAGTCTAGTTAGTGCTAGTTTAGTTTCATAAGATTCCTAAGTGTGTAAATGAGTGGGTCTTTGATTCTTGTGCTGTCACCTGGGATCTTTTTATTCCATTTGTCTTTTCAGAATCCAATATAATAGCTTTTGTTTTATTATATTATATTTTATTTTGCCAAACTTTATTATTATCCCTTAGAAGTCTGTTCTTTTCTAATGTGACAGAAAGGAATAGACCCAGAAAGGAGGGAAGATGAAGAGGAACTGTGAGGAGTGTTGGGGGGGATAATCAGGAAATACTGTGTGAGAAAATAATCTATTTTCAATAAAAAGAAAATGAATAAAAATAATTTTGAAGCTTAGAATTTTCATTGGCATTGAAATCATAGAAATTTAAACTTGTGGTTCAAAACCTGTTTTACAATTCACAAACAAGAAGTATCTCTTCATTCATTCAGATTCTTTTCATTTCTCTTTGCAGTGTTTTACAATAGACTGAAGTCCAAATGCAGCCTCATTCATATCCTTAACTTATGACAAAACTGTCAAAATTGGGTAGGAAAAGACAGTGTTTTCAATAAATGGTGCCTGAAACTCGAGTTAGCCCTGTGTGCAATAAGAAGATCCTAATTTACCATTTCATACCAAAGGCAAATATTAAAGCAAAGTAGATCACAGACTAAAATTAAAAAGAATTAATAAATTGTTTTTTAAAGGACACTATAAAACATTTGAATAACAGTTATTAGACAAGAAATGTTTAGTTTTAAAATCCACTAATTAGTTAATTAATAATAAGCGATGAAAAACTTATTAAGTGGATCTCATTAAAATATTAAAGTTTACTGTGGTAAGAAAAACAGTTAAGACAATAAAATGTCAAGCCACAGATCAAGATAAAGTTTTTCATGAAGGGGTCTAGCCAAAGACTTAAAATACATAAAGAAACCTGAAAAATCAAAAGTTGAAAAACAGCCAAAAAGAAAACAAGTATAATATTTGGAAAAAATTATGATAGAAGATATGTTCATGATTACAAAGAACCTGAAAATGTATTCAACATCATCCCACAACAACGCAAATTCAAATCACAATGTAAGATCATATCATGCCCATTCCAACAACTAGCAGGACCAGTGAGGGCTGGTGGGTGGCACCAGTGGGTGGCACATGGCCAATTTACATACACTGACTGTGAGGATAACAAACGGTTCAGTCTTTTCGGAAAACATCACGTCAGTATTTGAAGGCAAACATCCATTTACCATGTTGTCCTGGCACTGTACTTTTAGACATTTAATGATGAGGAATGAAAATAAATGTAAACTAATCATAAGTACACAAATATTTGTAGTAACGTTATTGATAAGGATCACGGACATAAACAATTCCAGGAACTAACTGATCAACAGATAAGCTGCTGGACCATAGCAAGTTTTAGGTTTTGTGAAACAGTAATATGTAGGTCTAGAGAGGCAGCTCACTGGGTATAGCCACTTGCTGCCAAGTCTGAGCATCTGAGTGAAATCACTAGGACCCACACAGTAGAAAGAGAAAAGTTATTCCTGCAGTACTCTGACTTCCACACACATGTAATTGCATGTGTGCCCCTAGACATACACAACATAGATAACTAGATGTGCAATTAAAATATTAACAGTACTAACTCAGGAGAGTAGAATTTGTTTTCCAATTCATCTTCCCCGATATACTCTAGATATATTTGTGCTGGATAGCTATGTATTCAAGAACAAAAGTCCAGTTCACAAACTATCTTGTAGACAGGAGAAATTGGACTTACTTGAAGATGAATTTTCCACTTTTTTTTTTGTAAAAGAATTGGTGTTCATTGCTTCACAATAGCTAAGAAATAGAAACAGCCTAAATATCCTTCAACCAATGAATGGATGACGAAAATGTAGTACATATACAACATGAAATGTTATTCAGCAGTAAAATATAATGATGATATGAAATTTGTAGGTAAATGAGTGGAATTAGAAGAGATCACATTGAATGAGGTAATCCTGACACAAAAAGAGAAGTGTTAACATGTTCTCTCTCATGAGAGCCTTCTAGATCCAAATCTTCATATGTGAGACATGTCCAGGAATAACAGCAGAAACCAGTAAAGGAAAACAGAACCATTGCTAGTAAAAGGGTCTGAGAGAAATAGAAAGGAAAATAGCAAGGTAAATGTGACCTAATCAGATAAATGAAAAGGGAGCTCTTGCGAGGAGAAGGGGGTAAATACAGAAAAGGAGGGGAGACAGTAAAGGGGAATTCCAGGATGCAAGCTCCTGGCACCTAGGCTGCTTTGGGTTTTGTTTTGTTGTGTTTTTCTCTGAAACTAATAAATCTTTCTCAGACCACATTTAGCTACAAGAACTTA